ACAGCCCTCAGCCCCTCACCCAGACTGGCCAGGCACCCAGTGGGGACCACCCACCCTAAAGGGGGTGTGGCCAGCCTGAAAACAATCATCAGCCCCTCACCCAGGCTGGCCAAACCTCCATGGGGTGAGGCCCCCCGGGGGGGGGGGGGCTTGAAAACAGCCATCAGCCCCTCACCCAGGCTGGCCAGGCACCCCAGCAGGACCCCCACCCTGATTCGGGACACCCTTCAGGGCAAACCAGCCGGCCCCCACCCGTGCACCAGGCTCTAGCCTATATAATAAAAGGGTAATATGCAAACTGACCCTAACAGAAGAAAGACTGGGAATGACTGGTCACTATGACACACACTGACACAGGGGGCAGACGTTCAATGCAGGAGCTGCCCCCTGGTGGTCAGTGCACTCCCATAAGGGGAGCTGTGCTCAGCCACAAGCCAGGCTGATGGCTGCCAGTACAGCGGTGGTGGTAGGAGCTTCTCCCGCCTCCTCAGCAGCGCTAAGGGTGTCCAACTGCAGCTTAGGCCTGCTCCCCGCTGGCAAGTGGACATCCCCTGAAGGCTCCTGGGCTGCCAGAGTGATGTCTGACTGCCAGCTTAGGCCCAATTCCGCAGGGAGCAGGCCTAAACCAGCAGGTGGTCATCCCCCAAGGGGTCCCAGACTGCGAAAGGGCACAGGCCAGGCTGAGGGACCTCCCCGCTGGAGTGCACAAATTTTTGTGCACCAGGCCTGTAGTTAAGTTATAACAATGTACCTACCTATATAGTTTAAGTTTAAAAAATTTGGCTCTCAAAAGAAATTTCAATCGTTGTACTGTTGATATTTGGCTCTGTTGACTAATGAGTTTGCCGACCACTGGGCTAGATGATCTCTCAAGTTCCCACCAGTCCACACTTTCTCTGATCATAATTGCTCAATGTGCCTCCTTGAAATATTGGGAAAGAAGGATTATTTGCCTTATGAGACCAGAGTGTCTTTTTTCCCACCCAAACTGTGGCGCTCTAAGTGCATTAGCCCAGAGATGCCATGGAAATGGCCTGAGCCTGCCCTTCCTTAGAATACAGGGCCAGGGCACACGTGTGAGCAACCGCTGCTGTGGCCTGGTGCAGAGTGGGGCTGAGGCTGGGGAGCCTGCCTGGCTCCCCCTCAGTTTAGCCTTGTGCGTGCAAGTCTGCTGCACACTCAACTCTGATTATTTTATTTGTAAAATGGAGGTAGGACGGGGTGAGGAAAATTTTGAACTGATGTTTTTAAGTTGTCTTTACAATACAAAAGCAATGAAAACATATAAAATTAGGAAAATGGATATTAGGGTAAAAGTCAGCCACCCAGCATTGCTATGTTTCTAATTCTATTATTATTATTATTTTGGTCCTCTTTTTTTTCATTTGCATACCCAGTGGCTATGTAATTTGTGTTTGTTTTGGGAGATTTTGTTTTGTTTCTTTTTGTTGTTGTTGATGTTTTTACTTAATATTGTCATACAGTTGTATAGGCTGCTTTATAATCTTTGCAATCACCACATATAATGCCTATTGCTTTTGCCATTTCATTTGTCTTTTGGTTTGTTTTTTTAAAATATATTTTTATTGATTGCAGAAAGGAAGGGAGAGGGAAAGAGATATAAACATCAATGATGAGAGAGAATCATTGATTGGCTGCCTCCTGCATGCCCCCTACTGGGGATTGAGCCCACAACCCGGGCATGTGCCATTGACTGGAATCAAACCCAGGACCCTTCAGTCCGCAGGCCAATGCTCTATCCACTGGTTTGTTTTGAACGTTAAAGACAATTTTACATTTTATTATTTATAAATATAAGGCTACATTACATTGCATATCTACACTAATAAAAGAGAAACATGGTAATTAGCGTACGACTGCTACCCTTTTCATTGGCTAATCAGTGAGTATATGCAAATTAACTGTCAGCCAAGATGGCGGCCAGCAGCCAGGCAGCTGGAAGCGAACATGAGGCTTGCTTGCTGCGGACTCCAACGTTCCCCGCCTCACTTGCCAGCCTCTCAGCTGCAACTCTAAGCAACTATGTACTATGTTGCAAATAAGAAGCTAAACAAAACCCCAGAAACCGGCTTTCATTCAGCCGGGATTTAGCAACATTGTATCGATGTTTGCAGCAGCCGAGGCCTCAGAGCTAAAGCTGGCCCAGAATAAAAAAAAAAAAGAAAGAAAACAAGGAGCAGTTGGAAGCTTCAGTCACTCGCTTCCGGAAAACAGCCCTCAGCCCCTCACCCAGACTGGCCAGGCACCCCAGTGGGGACCCCCACTCTGATCCAGGACACCCTTCAGGGCAAACCAGCCAGCCCCTACCCATGCACCAGGCCTCTATTCTATATAGTAAAAGTGTAATAAGCCTCCCAGCACCTGGATCAGCGTGACAGGGGGCAGCACTCAAACCCCCTGATCGCCCTGCGGCTCTGTGTGTGACAGGGGCGGGGCCACAACCTCCCTATCCGCCCTGCTCTGTTTATGACAGGGGAAGGCACCCCAACCCCCTGATCACCCTGCTCTGTGCCTGATAGGGGGGAGCTCCCCAACCCCCTGATCGCCCTGCGGCTCTGTGTGTGACAGGGTAGAGCCATAACCTCTCCATCGGCCCTGCCCCGAGTGTGACAGTGGCGGTGCCCCAACCCCCTGATCGGCCCTGCTTTGTGGGTGATAGAGGGTGGCGCCCCAACCCCCCTCCACGGGCCTTGCTCTGTGTGTGACAGGGTAGAGCCATAACCTCCCCATTGGCCCTGCCCTGAGTGTGACAGGGTGCAGCGCCCACAACCCCCTGATCGGCCCTGCTCTGTGTGTGACAGGGGGCGGT